AAAGACCTTAGTATAGTATAAGTGTGTCTCTAAAATTTCGGCCATAGGTTAAGGGGATATTTATGCATTTTCCCTCAATTTTAAAGTTATGTGATACAAATATCTGATAATGTTCTTCACTTTTATATTTATTTGTTAATATGTTTATCATGATACATCAATAATATGTGTTACATGTATTCATGAGTGTTAGATATCATAGTTGTTTTGATTTACGTTTGGTTATTAATGTATCAATTAAAAATGGTAGATGACAAAAGCTTAATATGTCTATTGTGTTCAGTGTATACAATAAAGTATCACTTTGAGATACTTCTATTAAAGTATCAATTAAGATTTTTATGTGAAATAAGGTTAATAAGTGGATTTTGAAGTAGTTATCAAATTTGTATCTGAATATGATCAAATGTGTCCTTATTAAATTGCGTTAATATTAATATGTGTGAACAATACTATTTAAATAAAAGTATTTGTAATAATGTATCTTGTACAGTTCTCTTGTTTTTATTTATATATTGGTACATTTAACCTGATCAAATAACAATATATATGATGTAGTTGGAGCTACGTATTAATTTGTTATTCAAATGACTGTTGTTGAAAATTCAAGGTGTCTGTTAAAAAAAATACAGACATATTCATAATCAAATACTTTAATAGTGAATATATTTGTCAATTGAGGAATAGAGTATTAAGTAAGGTACAACCTACTGTTGGATTTGTTAGTGGTGTGACAACTTCAATTTGGAGAATCATAAAAGATAACATACTCCAAACGACATAATTGTTGATGTCAGGGCACCCTATGGCGTTGAAATTTCTTACCAACAAGCATGGCGGACTAAATAACGTGCATTGAAAATGATCAGGGGTAAATCTGTTGATGGATATAGACAGATGTCAAGATGATACATATATATGTTGAAAACTGTGTATCCAAATTCATATATGAGGATGCATAAGTCCAAAAAAATGAATTTATATATCTATTCATATCATTAAAGGCCCATGATGAGAATGTTTGAGTTATGTAGGCCTGTTATTGTTCTTTATGCTTCACATCTTAGCGGAGCTTATCGAAAAATATTTGTATTGACAAGTACACTCGACGGGACAGATATCTCATGTTGCTTATGAATTTAATTTTTTTAAAAAAGTAATTTTAACATTCTGCAATAATTATTTAAAACTAATCATAATTTTGTGTATTTCTATGTTAAATTTTCATATTGCCTTTAGCTTATGCAATTGTTGACACGGAAAATGATTGTTCACGGACATGACTGTTTATTCAAATTTTCCTCATTTTGCATGCACATGACACCTACGAAAAAATATTGTTCAAACTTTAGGAGAAGCAGGTCCATACTAAGTGATCTGTTTTATTCAATGACAAAGACTTATAATTTAAAAAATAAACGGCTAAATTGAAAAAAGTAGATGACAGAGTTAAGAAGTATCTTCAAGATGCTGGGGTATGAAAGGTGGTCTAGGTCTCATGCAACAGAAAACATGGAAAGAATGATGACTTCAAATATAGCTGAATGTATCAACGGTTGTCTTGTTGATGCACGACAACTACCTATTATAAACTTTATGGAAGAAGTTAGAATTCTATTTTTTGGCTCTTGAAATTGCAAAAATAAAAAAATAGCTTCTTATACAAAGTACACATTAGGAAAGAGATTTTAATAAATATTGATTATAAACGTGTCAAAATGTGCAAAATGAAGGTACATATTTGTATTACAAGTATTATATATCTAGTTTTACTTCTAATAATATTGTTGTGTATACCAAATGAAAAAAATGTGTAATATATCTCTAATTTGTAAACAATTCCAGGTTGTCTGATATTATTTTTTCAATGTATGAAGGCGGGATAAGATACATTATTTGTCTTGAAAGAAAAACTCGTTCATGTGATAGATTTCAACATGACGAAATACCTGATGCACATGCACTGACCATTTTAAAGAAGAAAAATATTAAAGATGTACAACCCTACAACTCTGGTTACTATAAATATGATACATTAACTATGCAGTTTCAATAGAACCGATGCTAGAACAAAGTGATAGGGCAACTCTGAAATATGTTTTGGATGAAGTCATCTTGCCATCAAGATACAAAAAAATATCTGATACACCAAAGAAAAAGAGGAAGAAAAATCCAAAAGAAAAGGTAACACAAAAAGAATTATTCTAGACGTTATGGACAATAAGGTCAAACTATTAGAATATGTACATACTTCCCGAAAGATTGTCGATGACTACTTTTTAAAGAATTTTTATGCTTCATGTGTAATATTTTTCTGGATTTTTGAATCTTCTAATAAGATATTATCATTTGGTGTGATTTTTACTTTATTTAAATGTCAAAAGACCACAAATCGTTGAATGATAATGAAATTAATTGTATTATACCAAGTGTAAAATATATTGTATCATGTGTTGGGGTATAAACAATTAAATTATTTGATAAGTGATTATGTATCATATACGTTATAGTTCAACTATTTGTTGTATCCGATAGTAAAATATTATTATTTTTTATGATTTACATCAATATAACAAGATTCAACATGTTAAAGGATACTAAACATATTGAAACTTAATTGCTTTGTACCAATTATAACATACATAAAATTTGTATCATATATATAATAATTTTATGAATATTGTGTATTAGATAATTACATAGTATCACATGTTTGTGATTTACATCAGGCTACAACATGTTAATAGATACTAAATAAATTGAAAATTAGTTATTGTTTACCGAATATAGAATTCAAATATTTGGTATCTAATGGTTATTTGTATCAGCAGTATTGATGTATATCATACTTATAAGATACAATATAAGTTACTACATATTAAAATTATAACTGAAATGCGAAATTTGACAAAAACAGTCTTCAAATTAATAATTACTTAGAAATATTGTGTTGAAACAGGAATGTATCTTCAACTCAAGAAGACATAACAATTCTAAATTAATCAGTCCATCTCGACTGGAGTAGTGTAGCCACTCTTGGGCCTTGCAGGATTATCATTATCGCTAACGTATTCCGCCTTGTCCTTGTCCATATCATACTTCCATAATAGCGTTGTATATCTATTGTGATGATAGTCACTCCGAAAACTAGTAGATGAAATGTTGATTTCATCGCTTATGTATTCAATAAAAGCATCTACATACATTTCACATTCGCTGCAAACAAAAGTAGATACATTAAAAAAGTGAATTAAATGTGTAAGTAAAGAAATTATTTTACAATACTAACAAGCTATCACTTTGATGTTTCATAATATTTTGAGAATATTCCACCTCAAACGACTATTGTGGACCCAAGATTTACTAGTTTCTTTGTCTTTGGATGACTCCAATGGTGCCCAATCAGTTCTCTCCGGACCAAAAATTTGACTATCATAAAGATAGTTTGAAAGCATTACAGACAACCGTTTTATCTCATACAAATAACTTTTTGTTGATCCCATAGATGAGTCATACACTCGTATTAACCTTTTCTTTAAAAAACCACAGCTAACACCCAAAGAAAATCTTTATCACAATTACTCGAAATATAAACCTCATCTGCTAGATGTCATAGTAAAGAAGCAAGGATCAAAAATTCATTTATGATGTCTTTGATAGACCTTTCATAACTAGATACAGTAACACAACGATTAATATGTTTTTGTGTACTAAGAGTATCATCTGCAGGAGCACAATAATACCTCTTGTATACAATGTTGATATATGACTTGAACAAACAGTTGACCGTAGTGTATTGTACTGATCTATGCTTCTTAATTTTGACTTTTTGCGTAGATAGTAAAAATTTACATCTATGTGCTATAAAACAAAACAAAAAATAATATATAATCGGCACAATCTGAAACAAAAAAAATAAATTGAAGAAAAAGAAAAACTAA